CCGTTTTTCCTGTCGTTAAACTAGCAAAAGTGGATTTGGACACACCCTAAGTACACCTGCGCCGTGCGCTTTAGACCATGCGCTTAGATCGTTAAAATAGGGCCCCTTGTATTCCAGGCCAGCCCTTACCACCCCTTCTGCCCCTTGGCTATCTGATGTTCTCCGCGAACATCGTTCTAAGCTCAGGGCTGCTGAAAGGGTATGGCGCAAATAAAAAAATCCTACTGACCTTAATGTGTATCAGTCACTCCTCTCTTCCTTCTCTGCTAATGTCTCCACTGCTAAAAGGACATACTATCATAACAAAATTAACAATTTGTCTAACTCTCGCATGCTCTTTAAAACATTTTCCTCGCTCCTTTGTCCTCCTCCTCCCCCTACTTCATCAACTCTAAAAGCTGACTAATTTGTAACGTTCTTCGTTAATAAAATTAAAACCATCAGTGCACAATTTTCCACACCACAATCTGTCAAGCACATCTTACCAGCAAACATACATTCGTTCACATCCTTCTCTTCACTCTCTGAGGTAGAAGTCTCCAAACTCATCCTTTCTAATCATCCTACTACTTGTCCGCTTGATCCTATTCCATCTCATCTCCTTCAAGCCATTTCTCCTGCAGTTGTACCTGCACTCACATCATTAACACATCCCTTCACACTGGTGTTTTTCCCTCAGCATTTAAACAGGCTCGTATAACCCCATTTCTTAAGAAACCCAGTCTTACCCCAACTCTTTTAGAGAACTACAGACCGGTTTCCCTTCTTCCTTTCATTGCAAACACACTTGAACGAGTTGTGTTCAACCAAGTCTCTGCCTTTCTACCAGTCTGGTTTCAGAAGTGGACATTCAACCGAGACTGCCTTGCTCTCAGTTGTTGAAGCCCTAAGACTGGCAAGAGCGGATTCCAAATCTTCAATACTTATCTTGCTGGATCTGTCCGCTGCTTTTGACACAGTTAACCACCAGATCCTCCTGTCAACCCTATTGGCAAAGGGCATCTCAGGAACCGCACTCCAGTAGTTTGAGTCTTTCCTCACAGATAAGTCCTTCAAGGTATCTTGGAGAGGTGAAGTGTCCAAGTCGCAACATCTAGCTACTGGGGTGCCTCAGGGCTCAGTTCTTGGACCACTTCTCTTCACTGTCTACATGGCATCACTAGGTTCTGTCATTCAGAAACATGGCTTTTCATATCACTGCTATGCTGATGACACTCAACTCTACCTCTCATTCCATCCTGATGATCCAACGATAGCTGCTCGCATCTCAGCATGTATAACAGACATTTCTTGTTGGAAGACGGACCATCACCTTCAACTCAACCTGGCTAAGACAGAACTGCTTGTGGTGTCAACAAACCCATCACTTTATAAAAATTTCACCATCCAGTTAGGCTCATCAACCATAACTCCTTCAAAAACAGCCAGAAACCTTGGAGTTATGATTGATGATCAGCTTACTTTCTCAGACCACATTGCTAAAAACTGCCTGGTCCTGCAGATTTGCTTTATACAACATTAGGAAGATCAGGCCCTTTCTTTCAGAACATGCAACACAACTCCTTGTTCAAGCTCTTGTTCTGTCCAGGCTGGACTATTGCAATGCTCTCTTGGCAGGTCTTCCAGCCACTTCTATCAAACCTCTACAACAAATCCAAAATGCCTGTGTGTGTGTGTGTGTGTGTGTGTGATTCACAAAAAAAGTGTTTTGTACACATATTCTAAAATATGTTGCTAACTCATTGAAAGAACTCATTGAAACTGAACCCCCTCCCCTCTTTTATGCTCTACTGTTAGTGTTATCTGTATGCACCAAGGGTCTGAGAGTAACGCAATTTAAATTCTCTGTATGTATGTGCTGTACATGTGGAAGAACTGACAATAAAGCAGACTTTGACTTTGACTTTGACTAAAATATATGTTCAGTTTTGTTGGCTATTGTACATATTTTAACCAAAATGAAAATCGTCATGCAAGTTTGATCTGTTTTCAGTAAAATGCTTTGATGTTTTTTATTAATTCATTAAATTAATTAGTCAAATTAGCCAAAATCAGCCAAAATTCAGTGGTGATCATTGATACGTGCGGGCACATCCCATGGGGCTGAAACAACGGCTATTGTTTTCTGCACGCAAACGTGCTGAGCTCTAATTTATCAGAGCAGGTGAGTCAAACTTCTGACGTGGATTGTTCTGCTAAGACAAAAATAACCTTTTGTTTGTTTATAAACCATCTCTTCTGCTGATTACTCTACTACAATACGTGACTGTAATCATTGCATCCTTTAGGAAGACATGCTTGTGTTAGGATGAAGACTTTCATCATTGTAATGGATTGTAACTCATTGAATCTCATTTCTGATTTGTTGAACACTCCTTTTTTTGGTCACTACAGAATTCTCACACTTCCATTGTGTTAATCCATTTCATGACATTGGATAAAATAGATTAGAATTAAATGTATGTACTTTTTAATCAAACAAGCAAATATATGACACAATTTAGCTTAGAGGACAGAATTTATTGTAATTCAAACATAGAGTAAACACATTTGTGTAAAGTTAAAAACTGTTTAGTTACTGATACATAGTAGTCATGACACCATCTTCAAGGGTGTAATACATTGATCAGATTTAATCTTAATAAATGGTTTATGATAAATATTTCATATAAAAAATGTATAGTTCCAGACATGATGCAGATGTGCCTGGCACAAGGAGTGTGTTTTTAAAAGCTGAAACATTTGGGTTTTCTCACACGAATGGAAATGTAGTTGTGTTATTTTGCAGCTATTAAGCAGTTTGGTTAGTCGGCAAGTTTTATTTTTTTCGCGATCTTAATTCATGATCTCTTGTGGCATCCATATAATATCAGCCCTAAATAGTATTTGAAATTAGAATTAGTGTATCCCAAATTGTAGTAGGCCTTCTGAAGTGATTATCCCAGAGGTACCCGGAAGGTTTACTTTTTCTGGAGGAAATTGGGAGTGCAGATCCATGCACACTCTTAATCGTTAATATTGCCCCCAACACATGGACCCTTTTCACAGACTGTGATGACGTGTTTCAATGATCATCAGCATTGTAAATCATGTAAAGTTTGATCAAATGTAAGGTGACTAGACGTGCCACTTCCCGGGAACACTTTACGCAATTTTGAAATCCTGGCCAGAACGTGTCCCTAGGAAATGGCACGTCTGGTCACCTTAATCAAATGGGAACGCAAAAATATCCCGTTCACCGCTATAGAAGTTTACTTTGACGACTTCCGCTTCAGAGAAACTCGTAAATGTGAAAAGGGTTCATTGCGTGTTGGACAAGGATTCGATTAGAAATAGAGATTGTAGATCGCCCGACGCACACAAAGAAACATTCAGGAGTACAGAAACTTATAGCACTTCATTATTAAATGGAGAGAGTCCCAAAATTCATGTTTTCAACATATTTCCCATTTATGCAAGTATGTTGTCATTTTGTTTGCAATCTTTGTGATTCATGTTATGTTATGTCATGTTATGGTTATTCATTTTTGTCTTAACTCAATGTATGTTCCTATATTAAGTCGCTCACTCAGTTCACTTCCTTCTGGGCCAAGAGAAGTTTGTCTCGTGGTTCATCGAGGCATTAAACGGTATTATTAAATGGAGAGAGTCACAAAATTAAAGTTTTTGAACTAACTAAACTCAGTTTCAATGTCTGTAGAGAGAGACAGATGCAGGTAACTTCATTCAAACACACAACTTTCATCTCTCTCTTTCTCTCTCAGAACGGCCATATTTGAGGGAAAAAAAGTTGTCTGCATCACTGGATATATAGCTGTCCGTCATTTAACATTTTTTTCCCATCAAATTTCCATCTCTTTTCCCGCTGGAATTCGCCCTCTGCTTCTGTGAACAGTAAACCCATCTACTTTGATTTGATTGGCCAGCTCAATTATTTTGACATTAACGACCGCTGTGGCAGACCAGGCTGATAATGTAACTTTTAAAGCTTTTTGTCATCCTAACAACAAGCATAAGGGAGTGCAGCAGATCAGTGCAAGAATTTCAAGTATTAGGGGGACAGTTTGGCCATTTTTAATTATTGTACCTCTGCTTGCCAATGTTGGTACACGTGCCATTGCCGACCCCTATAATGGTATGCAAAGTCCCTTTATTATATATATATATATATATATATATATATATATATGAAGAGTTCATTTGTAAAAACCGATAAACGCCACTTTAAAAAAAATTAGCCGATACAAATAATGACCCCAAATTATATCTGTACTTAATGTTGTTGCATTGACTGCAAAATATTAGACTAAGTGGAAATAAATGATGCTATTTTGGGAACAAATCAGAGCTCAGTGTGACTTTTTCTGACTGTATGAGTTCTCCTCAAGTGTCAGCAATACATTTTGCTTTCATTTTGAAGTATCTGTCATTTGAAACCTAACAGACATGTTTTTGTGAAGTAGTTTGTTTGAAAAGCTGGCTTGTGCGTCTTTAAAATAAATGGCACTTGGTTTGATGTTTTGTTACATTTTTGTCCAAATACTTTTGGAGGCCTTTGAATATCATGCAACAGTCTGTACCAGTCAAAACATGTTTAATATCGCTGATGTAATGTTACTGTCATAAAATAACCAAGAATGTGTTGTTTTTGGTGTTAATCTGTGAAATATTAAAATATTACATATGAAATAAATATTAAATATTACAATAAATATGAAATATTACAATATAAATTGTAATATTATCTGTATATTGTCATCATTACAGGCACAAGTTATTGCTGCCTACCACATTTGTTGTGTCTGCTTAACTGAATAAATAACTAACCATAACTTGTATTATATTATAGCTAATTAATGCCATAAGGACATTCATACACTCATCACTGGTGGATAACAGAATACTTCCTAAATGTAACATTGAAATAAGTTGTTTTTGGAAAGACGTTTTGAAACTTATGTATTGTGAAATGTGACATACAAATACATTCTTTTCTTTTCTATGTTCTGTTGCGTGGTTCAGCTGATTCAGAGGGAGAAATTAGTTGGTTGAAAGGTGGTGAAGACGTTGATGAAGATCGCCATGTAGTCGAGAAAATTGATGAATCCTCGAGTAAACTGATGTTGAAGAACTTTGAATTAGATGACACTGGAATCTATACCTGCGTGTTTGAAAATGATCACGGCACAAAGAAGATGAACTACCAGATCTATGTCTACCGTAGGTTCCCTTCTTCTGGTTCTTGTTCCTAAAGACTCATAATGTTCCTGAGCACATTTACATGTGGATTCACAAAATTTGTGAATGATTCTCATGTGAAATTTTGTCCAACAATCAGAAACACCGGACTTTGGCAACACACCGGCGTACCATGAATTTCTGGTGAACCAGACAGCGACCATTCCCTGCGTGGTGTCTGGGAAGCCTGCGGTGGAGATCCACTGGTTTCGGAATGATCGCATCGTGAATGATGACGGTAGGGGGGATGGCCATGCTGCAGGTTCTTCTGCTCTTTTATGTGGTATGGGGGTCTCCTCATCTTCCCAGCTATCAGTGATGCCTGTAGATGGCAAAATGGCAGGATGGCGATGGTGGATGATCCAGCGATGGGGTGGGAGGGGCCTGTGCATTCATTTTCTGACCGATTTGCAAACAAATCGAGAGATGTTTCTCGCTAGAAGTTGGGAAACATCTGTGAACAGTTTGGTTTAGTGTTTTTTTCTTCCTGTCTGACGGTGAGGCCAAACGAAACAGCTCCAAAACATCAAGCCCTGCCCCATTTCAAGTAAACGCCACCATTGACAACCTTAATAGGACAGTTCACCCCAAAATGAAAAGTATATTATTATTTACTCACATTTCTCCTTTTGTGTTCCACAGGGTTTGGAATTATATGAGGGCTCTTTGGAAAAACGTGTGGCAACATTTCTACGTAGTGATATTATGTTGGTCCTTACATGTCTCACAGCACTTCCGGTGTGAAATGTCCAGTGATTGTCGCTAAATTCCACCCCGAAACAGATGAGCGTGAATCTGGAAGCGATTTATTACATTCAGTGTTTACATATCGCAAACACTTTGAAACGTCTAATGAGTCTGAGACGCGTTCGCTAACATGTTTCATTCTGTTCCTTTTTGCAAATTTCACAACACTTTCAAAGTGAGATGCCCAATGCAGCTAAAAGCATGTTTGGTTTTATCCAAAACAGGTCGAGTTCAAAAAATTAAATGCCTGGTGAATGGCGCTAAAAGATTAATGCTCTATAAAAAAAAAACCTACACTCTTAAAAATAAAGGTGCTTCACGATGCCATAGAAGAACCTTTTTGTCTAAATGGTTCCATAAAGAACCTTTAACATCTGAAGAACCTTTCTGTTTCACAAAAGGTTCTTTGTGGCGAAATAAGGTTCTTCAGATTACAAAAAGGTAAGAAAGAGATGGTTCTTTAAAGAACCTTTGACTGAATGGTTCTTTGTGGAACCAAAAATGGTTCATCTATGGCATCGCTTGAAGAACCTTTTGAAGCACCTTTATTTTTAAGAGTGTACTACCTACAATTAGCTATTAACAAAAGCAAACGTGAGTTTAAATCACTCTTTTTTTATGCCATTTTAACTTGCGTCTTTGAGCTCTTTTATAGAGTGTTGAGTTGTATTTAATGGGACTTGTAACTGAGCACTCTACATCTCAAGTTCAGTGCTGTACCAGCTGAGCTACTGAGCAAGTTTACAATGTCAGACAAGCGTATGGAGATGCAAACATACTGTGCAAGGACTCATAATAAACTGGAATCATAATTTCTGTGAGAAGTAATAAAAGCTGTTGGAGTTTTTGGAGAGACATGTTTTTCCCAGTGAGCCTATTTTGCTAAATAATGAAACAGTTTTTGGTTTTGGGCTGAACTGGACTTTTAAGAGTGTGCGTGTGGGCTTTTAAAGGCTTCGTCTCATGAATCTAAAGTAATACTATTGCATCTTTGACATTCCTCATGCTCTACCTTCCCTCTTCTCTTTGTACAGGACGAGGTCATCTCAGAATCCTGCCAGATAAGTCTCTGCAGATTCTGAGAATTCAGCAGGAAGACAGTGGAACCTACACTTGTGAAGGCAGGATCAAGGGACGCCCCATAATAAGGGAGCTCCAGATCTATGTTGTTGTTAATGGTGAGGACATAGAGGAATTAATCATGTTTGTTTTTAATGTGGTCAGGCTGGATATATCCTCTTAATATCTGCTTTACACATCCCATTCTCCAGAGCCACCGACCGTCCTGATTCTCCAGGAAAGAAAAAGTGTTTTTGCCGGACCCAACAGCACTGTGTCTATAGCCTGCCGGGTCAAAGGAGTACCCCGTCCAAATATTTCATGGATACTGTATGTATATCAGTAGAAAATGCTATAATATTTCCTTCATGCTTACCTATAATCCTTAGTCTCAGTCTTTTTATATTTGTGAATCTGCTTTTGAAGTCAAAAGTTCTAGTTCTTACATATTACATGCAAATAATCCATCCTGACTACTTCTATCGCTCCATTTTGAAACCTAGTGAGCTACCTACATAGGAAGCATAATAGGTATAAACCGACGAGCTGCTGCCTTTTTAGAGACCTTCTTTAGGCTGATTTCTAAGGCAAGGCAAGTTTATGTATATAGCACATTTCATACACAATGGCAGTTCAGAATGCTTTACATAAAAGTGATGCATAAGAAATAAAAATAACCATAAATAAACAAGAAATGAAAATGGGAAAACTTGATTTAAAATGTACTTAAAACAAATTATAAATGGATTATAAATACTGAAAAAAATTGTTCAATCAAGTAATAAAATGACTTTCACCCATAAGCATTTTTGTGTTTATGGTGTTATTTTAGAAGCATTCTAATGCTAAATTTGATTGAAATCAGTTGTAGACAGCAAGGCAGCTCAGTAATGTTCGGAACAGAGCCTATACGGCATGTGTTTACACATATTCTTTAGTCTTGGAGTCCATCTTGTCGTTTTGTATATTTGGAGTTTCCTTTTGTCTCTTAGTTGTTAGTTTTCCTCCCATGAGTATATTTGTGTTGTCTTAATGAACAATAGTGGCAAACAGACTGTGTTTCTGCATCTTTCCCCTCAGCCCTTCCACCTCTGACGAGTCCCGTCACAAATACAACTCTGATAAGAGTGAGCTCACCATCTCTGCAGTGACCAGGAGTGATTTTGGAGATTATGTCTGCACGGCTACCAATAAGATCGGGGAAAACACCGCCACATTTATTCTGGATGTCTCAGGTAAAACAAGACTCTCTTAGAAAACCTCAAATGAAGTGATGTGTCTATACTTTCTGAAAGTGCAGAGGCATTGAATGTGGCAGTTGGTCTGCATTAATTTGTTTTTAGTCAATATACAGTAACAAACTTTAACATGATATCAAAATTGACCCCATTTACCTTCTTAATGAATGTTTACTATCCTAATGAAGGTCTTTATGACCAGTAAGTTTTGGCAGTTGGCCCATACTGGTTGTAAAATGTTACATAATGGATTCTTTGGCTGTGAACGCCCATTTTTCATGATCCTATCAATCAATTCCTGAAGAATAAAATCAAGACAAGCAAACATATTCTTTCTGAATATCCTGTTTCACTTCTTAAGTCAAATGGGTTGTGGAACGTGTGTCATGCTGACTGTAAACTGCAGTGAATTTGTGTTTACAGCTCAACTGTTTGTTTTTTCCTCTACTTTATTTCCCTTTCTTGCCAATTTTGTTTAGCCAAGGATTTATTCCAAGAAAACATTTTACTACAGTCACAAACACAGATATGGGGAATTTGGTGCCATGCAAGCATCAAATTGACACTCTCCAATAGGCCAGATGGCCCAGACCCAAACAAAACCCATTTTGACCATTTTGTAAGATATAAAAATAGATATTTAATGAATATATTTCCATAGTAGTTATATATTTATGGTTCATTGTATATATTTGATATTTTTCATTTAACTATGGAAGATAGGTAGGTTTTTTTTATTGGAATCGACATAAGAAATTGCCTTTCTTCACGCCTAAAATGTTCTAAAATAATTGCCATTTCAGTCATGCATATACATAATTTAATTTAATTACATTTTTGTCTTATTGATCAATATTCAGAGCGTCCAACTGTAGTTTTGGATCAACCTAAGCTGGTGGCTATTCCAGGAGAAACTGGATCTGTGATCTGCAATGCCACAGGACATCCAACACCAACCATACAGTGGGTCAAGAAGACTAACAAAGAAAAAATGGTGAGAAACGTATACATTTTTGTTAGCAATTTCAAAGCGTTTTGGAAATATGTTTAAGATAATAAAATCTTGCATGGGTTAAGGGAAATGCATGGGTTATGGCGACTAGGAGGGATTCTATATCTACAGGAAGTTTGACCCACGTACTCTTCTCTTCAGTCTTAATGACTTTTTCCTGTCTCTTATTGTCTTTCCTTTTTGCACGAACATGTGTGGGCAGACGAATGTGGAGGATTCTGAGCTGATTCTTGAAAATGTAATGCCCTCTGATGGCGGCTTGTACTCCTGCATAGCCAGCAATACGGCAGGAACAACCACTGAGGACTTCCAGCTGATAAGTAAGGCTCTTGAGGTGGCTTCAGTAGTAGTTAACTAACTTTGATTTGTTGATGTCTTTAATTTCTGAATAAACTTTCAATATTGCTTCTCATTAAAAATTATGTTCCTCTCTCTCAAAAGCCTGGCCTGGGACACCCGCTAAGTTCAGTGTGGCTCCGGGGCCCTCATCTTCTGTCCTCATCCAGAGTGCCTCAGTGCAAGATGGAGGGTCCTCCATTACCCAGTACATCCTTCAGTGGAAGAAACCGTCTGAAGACACCTGGAGTCAAAGCATTGTCAAGCCCACAAGTAAATAAGTCACTCAGAAAAGTGTAGTTTGTTTTGATGGTTTTGTAAATTCAAATGTGTGATGAAAACGCTTACATTTGTAGATCCCCTGGTGATCACGGGCCTTGAGCCGTACACAGAGTACTTCATTCGTTTTGCAGCCAAAAATTCTCATTTCCAGGGGAACTTCTCCACAGAACACAAGATCTTCACACAGTCCCAACGTGAGTATCAGCAAAGTTCTCTTCTGTCTATTCACTTCATCTGCTTCATATCCACCATTTTTGATGTTGATAGCTATTATTAATATTGTTATAACTTTTTATGCCATTGGCAGGCCACATGGAATCTGCACCCAATTTAGTATGCAGCTTTCTTAATTTTTAGCTTAAATAAATTGAGAGGCTACATGCATTATTTGTACTTTCTAAAAAATAAAAATTAATTTGTCACACCATTTGGACCATTAGGACCATACAATATCTGTATCTGTATCTACATATGTATCTGTCTGCAGATTCAGTTTTGGCGTGGCCATTGGTTTATAGGCCCAACTATTAGTTTTAGTGCTGTCAAACGATTAATCGAGATTAATCGCAATTAATCGCATCCAAAATAAAAGTTATTGTTTACATAATATGTGTGTATACTGTGTATATTTATTATGTATATATAAATACAAACCTTTTCCACGGCATTCTAATTTATTAAGATGCACCTGTACATGTATATATTTAAGAAAAATGTTATGTTTATATATTAAATATATTTATATATAATATAAAATATAAGAATATAAATGTATATACATGTAAATATTTTCAAAATATATACTGTATGTGTGTGTGTATTTATATATACATAATAAATATACACAGTACACATAGTATGTAAGCAAACTTTTATTTTGGATGCGATTAATCACGATTAATCATTTGACATTTATGACATTAATCATTTGACATTATTTTTCAATAATGAAATACATTTTATTAAGACAATTTTATTACAGTTGATACCATGTTATGCATCAATGCCTGTTTGCTCATCACATTTGTTCATGATTTGCCTCTCTGACCTGCTTGATGATGATTCTCCATGCATTACGACCTGCTCCTGGTCCCGGGGCCCATCCATTGCCTTATTCTGACCTTCCTTTGTAGATGGTAAATCAAAATTTTAAATGCATACATCTCCAGTTGACAGGCTAAAACACAAGCCTAATTGTTTACTGTGATATAGATGTGTGAAAATGAGTTTACCTGCATGTTTTCAATGCTGGAGAAAGCGAGAACAGAGAAAATTGCTACTTCAGGTTTCCTTCAGCATGAAATCAATGTTGGTCTGCCGCTCTCGCACATCTATACTATAGTGAATAATTTTGGAGCTTATCCACTGGATTGTCAATTACTTAAAGTGTTAGTTCACCCAAAAATTAAAATTAGCCCATAAATTACTCACCCTCAATTCATCCTAGGTGTATATGACTTTCTTCTTTCAGACGAATCCAGTCGGAGTTATATTAAAAATGGTCTTTGAGCTACATTAAAGTGATTATTACGTTTTGAATATGGATATTTTTCAAACAAAAAGGCATCGATTCGCTACAGAAGGCCATTGTTCACCCCACGGAGCCGTGTGAGACACTTTTTTTTAATGGATGGGCGCATTTTATTTAACTGCTTTTGGACTGATGCATGCAACACCCGCTGAGTGGCATTAAACAGCTTGAAAGATCAAAGACCATTTTTAATATAACTCCGACTGGATTCGTCTGAAAGAAGAAAATCATATACACCTAGGATGACTTGAGGGTGAGTAATTTATGGGCTAATTTTCATTTTTGGGTGAACTAACCCTTTAAGTATGATGCTGACAATTTAACTTTAATATAATACAGAGGCCAACAGTGAAACATCAAATATAGCATTCTTGGATTAATTAGGGTTGGGTGATAAAAATTTACAATCATTTTAATGTGCTTTTTATTTGGCCAATGACTAGATTTGTAAGAAATCACACACTTTTCACTTTCACACATCTCTTCCTTCTGTTCATTTAATAAATTAGTATAGAAAACATGCATTTTAATTGTATCTTTACTGTATTTTAGTTTTTGCGTTAAACATGTTCAATTATTTTAGAAATTAACTGTTTAAGAGCAAATTAAATATCAATATGTAGACTACCATTCTCTCTGTGTGTGTGTGTGTGTGTGTGTGTTCTTTTAAACTTGAATCCTTTTGAAAAAAAAATCCAGAAAAAAAAAATTGTATTACAGTTTCCACAAAGATATTAAGCAGCTCAACTGTTTTCAACATTGAATCAGCAAATTCAAATGATTTCTGAAGGATCGTGTGACACTGAAGACTGGAGTAATAATGCTGAAAATTCAGCTTTGGCATCACAAGTAAAAACATTAATATATGTTAAAATATATTCAAATAGAAAATGGTTACTTTAAATTGTAATAATATTTCACTGTTTTTATTGTAGGCCAATTTTTGATCAAATGCAGCCTTGGTGAGCATTAGAGACTTATTTAAAATAATAAAAATTAAAATTGTACCAACCCCAAACTTTTGAAATGATAGTGTACAACAAATATCATCAAAATAAAATAAATAAATAAATATAAAATAAAATAATACATTTATTAATACCAATATCACCCAGCCCAAAGATCAACCTGTTACACTGTTTCTTTGTTCCTTGTATCTAATGTTTCCTCTTTCCCTCGTGTAGGAGAACCCGACAGCCCCATTCTGTCTCTGAGCGAGAAAAAGCTGGACAAGAACTCAATCTACATCCCCATTAAACAGCTAAAAGATGGAGGCTTTCCCATCCTACACTACGTTGTACGCTACAAAGGGGTCAGTCTGAAGTCCAGCCGAAAACTTCTCACTTTATCTCTGCAGTATATGTATTTTTCACAAGCCATATATCTAAATATAAAATGTCACTCGTTTGGAATAGAACAAGGAGAATGAGGAATGGACTGAAAAAGAAATTCCTGGAAACTCCAGCAAAATCCAGTTGAACAATCTCCAGTACGATGCTAACTATCAAATGGAAGTTTATGCAGTAAACCACAATGGCTCCTCCAATACTGCCAAAATTAACTTCACCGTCCCACAACCTGGTAGGATTGATTAGAGCAAGCATAATAATATCATGCATTATGTGCTTAAAGGGGTCCTATTATGCTCTTTTACAAAGTCTTGATTTTGTTTTGGGGGTGTACTAGAACAGGCTCTCATACTAGGTTGTTCGAAAAATATTTTTCACATATTTTACATTATTACAACACCTCTCTCCCCAGTCTGGCATGAACGGCTCGAATAGTTCAGCATAATAGGACCCCTTTAACAAATAATTCACCCTTTTACTGATATGAATTGATTTCTCTCTCTCTTGCAGTCAGTCAGTCGGCGTTAGGGAAAGGAGGTGTGGTGGGAATTGTAATGTTCATCTTCTTGCTGCTGATGGTGTCAGTAGATGCTTTCTGTTGCTACACCAACCACTGCGGCATGCTTAATTTCCTCGCTCGTAAACTATTTGGACACAAGGTGTCAGAGTCTAAAGGGATGGATGAAGAGGCCAATAATTCCTCTGGGTAAGACAACTTCACCCTTAAGTGCACATGTTGTAGAGATAGACAAAAGGACTGTTCTTTTCTGTCCTAGATTTCCTACAAAGAGCCATTGTTTGCACATAATGTTAGTTTATGGTGATTGCCATGGGCGACATTAGGGGGGGGCATATCGTTAGTCATGGAATCCCTGATGTCAGTCCCGCTGCAATTGGTGCAGTTATCCAAGCCCAGACCCAGTTGTACGGGGGTACTAGACTGCGCTAAATACCCTCAAACGAAAGCAAAAGCAATTAAAGATCTGGCGAACTATCCAATGTGTTTTTGCGGCATTGAACAATGTAGCCAATCACAGACATATCTGTTGATTTCTTCAACGCAGTGGCCAATCAGAAATGTTAGCGTTTTCAGAATTCACTCACCGTTGAAAGCGCCGGAGTTTTGCACGCTTGTGATTCATCTCATAAGTGCAGACGTGATGTAGCGTAAATAAGAGATTCATTGTGTAGTTTAGAGAGCTTCATTGATTATAACGGAACTTTGTGAGATCGCAATGAACTAAGATGAGTGATGCTTTTAGTGATAAAAATGGGAGTGCGCTTTGCGTGCTTTCTAGGCTATAATCCATTCCGAATTTGTATGAAACTTTCGTTTTTCGGACACATACATGCTGCAACGTTTCGGGAATTACATCAGCATATTTATGCTGGATTCATTCTAGAAATATCAGAGATTGACACAGTGATAACCAAAGCAATGGACGGGACAAAAATGCCTCAGTGATTTCTTCTGGAACTGGTCCTGGCCAAACTTCCACAGACAGTGCGCGTGAGCGAGATCCAGTTCACGGACTGAAAGCGTGTAAACTTTATTGAGATTGGGACATATCAACCATTTCATTTCCAGTAACGGACGGTAGAAAGGTCAGAAATGAATGGTATGCAATTTATGACAGACTAGTCCCACAACTGATTGTTTATTTTTTCCTCACGTCTCACCTTTAGTAACAACGATTCAAAACGGACACATTTCAAGTGACACGGGAAAAAGACAAAAAAACGTGACACGGAAAACTTAAACATCAGAAAAGCGTGCACATTTCTGGTTAAAAATGAAAGGCCACTTAAAACAGGAAGCATCACCATTCAAATCAGCAACGAGTCAAAGCTCCACAGTTTAGTAAACGCAGGCAACCTCTTGAAGTTATTCTTGACTGTGCTGTATTGACTGATTTGATGCATGGTAGGGCAATGTTTTGATGCATACATCCGAAAAAGATTTATTTTGCCACTTTTTTTTTTTCTTGCCCCCCTGACTCAAGAGTCAAATGTCGCCCAGGGTGATTGCATATAGTTCTTTAAAGGAATAGTTCACCTCAAAATTGTACCCCTCCCTCAATTTCAAATGTTTTCACACAAGAAGTGGATGCAAAACATTCCAAAATAGACCAAAAGCACAAAAAATGTATCATAAATGAAGTCTGAAAGACTTGTACGAAGTCTTCTGAATTCATATGATAGCTTTGTGTGAGGAAAAGTCCTCGCATAATTTTCATTTTTGGGTGAACTATTCCTGTATGTAAAGTACATACACATCAAGAAAGTGCAAAGATACTTTACTTTGGTATAGAAGTGTAAATAATTAAATAATGTAAAAAATAAATAAATAATACATTTTATTGTATTCCTCACTGTTATGAACTGGTATATGACATCATAATGGCAAAAAAAAAAAATCAAAAGCTGATTACAATTGAAACGATAACACTTCACAATAAAGATTGTATAAAGTTCAAAATAAAGGTTGAGACATACTTGACAATAAAGAATAGAGGGTTTTTACCTAATTTTTTAAAATCATGTTTAATGTTAATTTCTACACTAAATTAGAAATTAACATTTTTACTAGCATAACAACCAAGATAAATTAATTCTATACATTTATAAATTAGATAGATAAGAAAATAATATTTTTAATTAATGCATTTTGAACTAACAAACCAAGTGTTAAATACTATAAAATAATATTTTAACTATTTTTTTAGAATACATATAGACAAAATGATTAATAATTCTCAAAAAGCTCATAAAGATGTTTCTTAACAATTAACCTTATGAACTTTTGATATTATGTCTAAGATGGTGCCAAAGATTTTTAAACTTAACATTTTCTATCTAAAAGACCAATTTTAGAGCTTTGCATTTAGATGGAGTTGCTGTTTCCTGTGTGTGATTGCACCCCCCTAAGCTTCAGTTCTCTTGCGTCCTTTGATACAGAGACGTGAAGCTGAGCGGGCTAGCACTATCACGAGGCAGCATCCCAAAGCTTCAGTCACCCAGTGGGGCAGTGAATGGCCTTCATTCAGAGGTCACGTGTGACAAAGCGCCTCTTACCAAATTCGAGTAGGTGCCAACCTCAAAGGGATGAATGCAGCTGCGCATCAAAGCTGTCATTCACAAAAAATGGCATGTGGGCTTTATTTTACGCAACCAGGTTTAAAGGAATAGTTCACCCAAAAATTACCAGTTTGTCATGATTTACTCCTCAAACTTTGCAAACTGCATATGACATTCATGGTTATACTGCCTATATACATACCATAAAATAGTAAACAATGAGTAAATAATCACCGAATTTTCATTTTTGATGAACTATTGCTTTACTGCCATTTTTAACTCATGTTTCACAATTTTTTATTATTTTTTCTATTATCCATTGCCCCAGAAAACAAACAATCCAGCTGCCTCATTAACACAGAAAGCAGCTTCACATTCATTGTAGAAATAATCTCTCTTTTTTTTTTTTTTTGTAGGAAGAAACCAGAATCTGGTGATCCAGCAGCAGAGGCCTAGAGGAAGATATTTATACAGGACACAATTTGAATTCACTGAGTGAAGGAACTTCACACAAATCTTGGGACATCTGATTATGAGCTTAAGGGTGAAGTGTGTCATTTATTTTAAATACTATATGTAAGATATTTGTATCCCAAAATGTTTAAACTCTACAGCTCTGTGGTGCTATGAAACATGGTTCAACCAATAGCATGAGTTTTGGGGCGGGACCATCTGTTTGTCTGACCAATGACAGATGGGGGAGTGTTTGAGAAACCTATTTGTAAGATATAAAACTTCATAAATGACATACTTTTTATTTAAGTGATGCCATCTGGAACAAACATACAAACATCATAAAGGACGACTGTTATTTGCAGGAAAACGTTCAAGTCCTGTGCGATTTAGATTATACTTAATAAATTGTACTACATGGAAATGTAGGAGTATTATGAGTGTGATCCAGCACTGTAAATACTGTACATGACAAATGCTGCTTGAGCTGAATGTACAGTGGGTACGGAAGGTATTCAGACCCCCTTAAATTTTTCACTCTTTGTTATATTGCAGCCATTTGCTAAAATCATTTAAGTTAATTTTTTTTCCTCATTAATGTACACACAGCACCCCATATTGACAGAAAAACACAGAATTGTTGACATTTTTGCAGATTTATTAAAAAAGAAAAACTGAAATACCACATGGTCCCTTTGCTGTGACACTCATATATTTAAATCAGGTGCTGTCCATTTCTTCTGATCATCCTTGAGACGGTTCTACACCTTCATTTGAGTCCAGCTATGTTTGATTATACTGATTGGACTTGATTAGGAATGGCCCAGCCAGAGCCCTGACTTAAACCCAATTGAGCATCTCTGGAGAGACCTAAAAATGGCTGTCCAACAACGTTTACCATCCAACCTGACAGAACTGGAGAGGATCTGCAAGGAGGAATGGCAGAGGATCCCCAAATCCAGGTGTGAAAAACTTGTTGCATCTTTCCCAAAAAGACTCATGGCTGTATTAGAGCAAAAGGGTGCTTCTACTAAATACTGAGCAAAAGGTCTGAATACTTAGGACCATGTGAAATTTCAGTTTTTCTTTTTTAATAAATCTGCAAAAAATGTCAACAATTCTGTGTTTTTCTGTCAATATGGAGTGCTGTGTGTACATTAATGAGGAAAAAAAATTAACTTAAATGATTTTAGCAAATGGCTGCAATATAACAAAGAGTGAAAAATTTAAGGGGGTCTGAATACTTTCCGTACCCACTGTATGTTCAGTAATGAGCAGATAAAAGCAGGATGCAGCTAAGTAGAATATGATGTTAACGTGTTAAAGTGTAATATTACTGTCATAATGGGAGCATAATATCATAGCATAATAGCATCACTAGTGTTAATTTATTGCGTGTTTAACATACGTTTGTAGCTTGTATAAAATCTTGATTAAAGGAACAGTTGAAAGATTTGGAAATAAATAGATTTGGAAAGACATGACTTTTCAGTTTAATGTGAACGATAATGGCTTTTGTAAAGATAAAAATAACTGTGTGTGTTAGATATAGATATTACTTTGCATTTTATTTGTTTCAGCATCATATATTGTTACATTAATGCACCATGTATGAATGTTTTGGTCAAGTGATATGTGGATGTAAATACAGATGCATGCAACAAGATGTACATATAGATTTATTAATAGTTTTTGATCTTCACTGTACATTGCATAAATTATTTCTTTAATGCTTTTATACTCATAGAGTGACCCTATAGTAATTTTGTACTCAATGTAAATGTATTCTCAACTATAGACATTTGATTCTTTTGAATAAAATGAGACAAATACATACAACAGCTGCTTGCTAAAGCTCATTATTCACAGTGCTAAGATTCATTCAGTCTTTGTAACTAAGAAGGCTGTAGATCACATCTTGACTGTTGCAATGTGGCCTACAAAACAAAAGAAATGTATATTAGACTATATATATATATATATATATATATATAGCAACATATAGCAATTTGGTCTACAAAAGAAATGCCAATTTGATTCAGCTAAAAGGCAGCAACTGATTTATTTTATGTTTTATTTTTTACAGTAGCCTGTTATTGCTTATAGAAAATGGTGAAACAATTTGACGTTCTTTATGTTAACTAATACTTGATGTCAACACAGCCAATTCAAGGGGTTTATAAATCAATTCCACCGCTTTTCTCCCTCAAATAATCATCATGACATTTTTTTTATCATTACCTGTCTGAGGTTGAGGAAGGAAGCCTTAAGTCTACATATGTCACATATGTGGTAAGGTTTTCCTCAGACTCTGGTGATTTTCTCAGGTTCTCATAGATCTCCTCTGTGACAGTGACTGCAGGTGTCTGATCAGAGATGAAAAATCACAGTATTGATTTAGTGCGCAGTTATAAGTACAGAATCTTCTTGCTCATTTAAAATGAGATGAACTGTTCATGTGTTTAATACCTGTTCTGCGGGCTGCTTCTTTGACGTAAACAGTTTCCTCCTGTAAAGATGTAAGCAGATAACGTTTAATTTCCTCCTCGTTAAATTCAATAAGCCGTCTAACCTGACTAGATTCCGTTAAAAGGAATCATTCAGTATTATTATGTGTTAATAATTTAGAATGCTGAGAATACTACAATTATTATGTAGTAAGTGCAAGATTTGCGTAAACCGATTGCATGTTTGACTGGCCCATCGATAATGAAATCAGAACAACGCAATACTGAACGCAGTAGCTATACATGATGATGGCCATCGAGGGCTTGTGTAATGTGTAGTGTCATTTCCACACAGTACAAACTCATGCAATCAGTTCACGTTTAACACATGAACTTCGTTCTCTCTGCATTTCAACAATATGTGCATCCACTCACCTTATAATGAGACCAAACATTAACAGTACAGCCATTAGAAACAAAAACACAGCTGTTGCAGTCAGCAAGAAATTTCGATGACTAGGCACTATAGAAACAAACAAAAAATGGAATAAATTTGGGTAAACTTTGTTTAGAATTGCATAATTTACTTACTATGTCTTATGCAAGCTTTATGCAATATGCCTAGGTGATATTTTTCCAAAATGTGCAGTATAATGTTGTTATTTCCATGTGTGATTAATGAAGCAGTCACATTTAACATTATTGATGTTATAAAACATTATTTTTTTACTCAAACGCCACTCACATGATATTTTTCATACACTGCCGGTATCTGTATATATAGGCTACTGCACAATATTTAGTAAGCAATAAGCTAGCAGTGTTGGGGGTAACTCATTACAAGTACGTAATCAGATTACTTTTGTCAAGTAACTAGTAAAGTAACACATTACTTTTTTAATTTACAAGAAAATATCTGAGTTACTTTTTCAAAAAACTAGTATTCCATTTCGAACACAATTTCTTTCTTCGTGATTGAAATATTCCCTATTACCTTCGACTTTCAGTGGTGTGACTGTAGAGTTTTGAGAACCCATGTCATTTTTAGCAATGCAGAAGTACTGTCCGCCATCCTTCTGACTGGCAGATTTGATGGAGAATTCACGATCAGATCCTATATAAGAGACGTTTGCTTCTTTGATCATAAACCAACTGTAGTTTGTCACTGCAGGATTGGCATTGCTCTTACAGATCAGAGTCAGTGAGTTTCCTTCTTGTATCTTTCCAGATGACAAAACGGCTATTTTGACGTTCTTTGGACTATCTGTGGGGAGAAGCAACAGGATCTGTAATTGCAAGAGAACTATGAAACTTTGGCATGCAGTGGCGCAGATGTTGCATCAAAAACGTTGACTGTGGGTTAGTGGGATTTTCTGAAATCGTCCAGCTTCCTCATTTCAAGGCTTTACAGGCGCTTATTTAACATAGAGGTCTGTAGCAGTTTCAAATGCAGCATCTTACTCTAATAGGCATACATATATGAAGCCCAGACATTACACTTTAAAATAAGTGCTTTATATTTTAATATATTTTAAAATGTGGCAGTAGCCATTACTCCGGTCTTAAAGGATCATTCTAATATGCTGATTTACTGCAACATTTCTTATTATTCTCAATATTAAAAACAGTTGTGCTGATTAATATTTTTGCGGAAACTGTGTTTATGATGCCTTAAAAGGCACTTCACCAGGTTTTTGAACAAAGCCATGATGTGCTTTAAATGACAGACTAGCCAGAGATGTGAACGTACATCTTACGTCAAGCAATATTTCATCTGCTGAAGTTGTGCTGCTGTTCTTCAGACCGCAGGAGTAGTTGCCAAAATCATCGTGAGAGACAGAGGTGATTTGGAGCACACTGTCAGTGGCTTCTGGAATCAGACGTTGGTTTTTAAACCAGGCAAACGGCTCTTGTGTTGGGGTGCAGTTTTCTGTGCTGCATGTCAATGTCACAGAGTCTCCTTCATGGATGTGTTCATTCACCTTTTTTGTTTTTACTGTTACTCTAAAAGGTAGAACTGTTAAAGGTAATGTAGATTAATGAAATGTAACCAGAAGCCTGTTTAAAAACTAAAAAGACTATCAGCATCCCATCCTTTATTGGCACTGATGGTTCCATGAAGAACCTTAAACAACCATGGAACCTTTCCATTGCTCAAACGGTCCTTTATAGTGGAAAAAATGTTATTCAGATTATTCAAATGTTTTTAACACTAAGGGAAAAAATGGTTCTTTTAAGAACTGTTTGCTGAAAGGTTCTTTAAGGAACCAAAAATGGTTCTTGTACAATATCACTACAAAAAAAATTAAGAGTGTATATGCTGGAGATAGTGATTTGCTGATATTTTATTTCTCATTGAACAAGTATAGCCTTTCATTTACCTGCTACACTGAGGTTTATGCCACCCGGTCCAGTGTATTTTCCACGAGAGGAATATGTTTCAAAGCGAAAGAAATACATTCCAGTGTCACTTTTGGAGACATTGTGTAACTGCAGTGAGCAGTTTTTGTCTCGGTTTGCATAAGCTGTTCTGTTTTTGTACAGCTGGTGAATCTTTGCTGCTTCTGAGTTATAGGCAGATATTCCCACCTGTGATCCGTCTTGTTTCTGATGAGCTTCTGGTTTGAACCAATATGTTGTTTTAAGGATGCGATAATCTGAATAGTCAAACATGCAGCTGAAATCCACAGATGATCTTTCGAATGCACATATGCTTCTAGGGTAGTATGAAACCAACCATGAAGCCACAGCAGCTAAACACACAAAAAATGTTTGTTAAGATTTCAATGTCACTATTACTCCTTGTTGTTTTTTGGAGTCTAGACTTAAAATGAAGATTCTTATAGACTATCAGTGACCAGATCTGACCAAAATGTACAGCAGCAAACTGTTTAGTGGCCACAAAATGGCTTAAATGATTTATGAAGCTTCAAAATAAGCTAAATCAGCTACAAAATAGACATTTTTCTTATTTTATTTTTATTTATTTTTTTGGTTTCATGGTAATTTTAAAAGTGTGAAATCCAGACATGGAAAAGTCATGGAATTTTTTTTTTATGAAATAGATTTATGTAATTATACCAAGCTCTTAAATATTTTATTGAGCAGTCATTACAGCAGAAATAGCTTTGCCTTATATATTATCATAGAGTCAAACAGGCTGAGAACCACTCAATCTCATTCTATTTAATCAATAACATAATCTATAAATAAAAAAAAAATACTCAAATACAAAAACTCACCTGATAAAAGCAACTGCAATAATATGCTGATGTAAAACATGTTTTATCCCTTTAGCAATTTTATCTAAGAAGAAAACACTTTTTTATATGCATCAGTAAGTTTCAGTCTTACTCCACAACAGGCCTAATATATACAGTACTTAAGCTTGCATCAGTAAACGGATATCCTTGTTCCATGGTGGAAAGCTTCCCTAAATCTGTGCTTGTATTTAATTCCTTTATTCTATGCTTAAATTTGAACAAAAATATGTTTGTTTGGTATATTTGATATGATTTAAATCATGTCTAAGTCCATAATGTTTATTTAGTGAAACTCTGCTGATGATTTTTAACACTTAAACAACATCTTAAACAGGAACCTAAAAAGGAAATGACAGCCGATGTGAGATGATGTAAGAATTTATTAATTATAGAGGGTGATGGAGGTCAGTAAAAGTTATTCTCATCCTGTCAGAAGCATTGAGAGAAAGTTCCCTCTACATTCTACATCAAGTCTGTTTTGCCCACCATATTGCATTTCTCTTTGAAAAGGAGAATGTTAAGAATAACATGGAATTGCAATTGAACATCTAAAAAAATATGACTGTATTAATTAGTGTGATACCTACTTCAGGGTGTAGTGTGAATGTTCTTGTGAACTTTTTTGACAGCACGTCTTGACTCATCTGTATCCTTACAGTTTTTGTAGTATTGCTAAGTCTATAGCGCCCCCTGCTGTCAAGGCAAAACAAGCTTTATCAGAATCAGAATCAGAATCAGAATGAGCTTTATTGCCAGGTATGTTTACACATACGAGGAATTTGTTTTCGTGACAGAAGCTTCCACAGTGTAACAGAATGACAGTGACAGAACAAAAAACACAGATAATAAAAATAAAAAATAAATAAAAAATAGAACAAGTAAATTCATTAGTATTAGTTAGTATGGGTAATAACTGTAATAACTATACTTAGTCGTATACGGTCTAAATAATACTAATAATTCTCCTGTAACACAGTGACTAATGCAAATCGATCAGTAGTGATTTGGAGGGGTTTATTTTTATTTATTTATTTATTTATTTTACGAAGCGATACAAGAGACCTAACATGAGTTGGGAATATAAAAAGAATGGAGGGAATAGTTTTGGTTGGAAGTATGAACAGTGGGTCAAGGATTGTGGTCTGGAGAATGAAGAAATCTGTCCCAACATGCCATTAAATGGGGTATCAGTATGGAATATTCCTGAACCCAGTGTTGAAATGAGATTGTTGGAGGCCCGGGAAAAAGCAGAAGGAAGATATACTAATAGTTATGAAATCAATGTTTTTATGAGAGAAAATTTTTATTCTTTTATACAGATCTATACAGATGGGTCTAAAGACCCAATCAAACAAAAAGTGGGCATAGGAGTGTACATTCCAAATTTAAGACGAAAATAAGTTTAAGGTTAAAGGGGTCATAGGATGCCCATTTTCCACAAGTTGATATGATTCTTTAGGGTCTTAATGAAAAGTCTGTAACAGTTTGGTTAATTTCTCAATGGTAGAGTAAAAAAACCACCTTTTTTACCCTGTCAAAAACAGCTCTTTTCAGAGCATGCAGATTTGTTGTATTTTCCTTTAAATGTTAATGAGCTCTGCTGACCCCGCCCCTCTCTTCCGAGCCGCTCTCAGAGAGACTGTTTACTTTAGCTGCATTCATCGTGAAACTTGCTAATTAGCACATTATTAGGAAAGGTGATTTGCAAAGATTCGTTAAAAAAACCTTACACTTACTTCTGAGTGGGGGTGGGGGGCATTCCCTTCAAAAACAAACATAATCCACTGCCAGTTCAGCGGCTCAGATGTCGGGTGTAAATGAAACTGCTGTTCATTATTACATCCAACAACAGAACACCTCAATCGCTTAGGAGTCATTCTTGTCTACATCTGCCAAATTGTCCGTATATTCTACAGAATTAACTGCTGTAATAGTAGGATTGCAGTGGGTAGAACAGATTAAGCCAAATAGGACTCCGACTGTAATTTGCTCAGATTCTTCATCAGCTCTTAAAAGTATATTGTCGACAAAAACTGATAGAGAAGATCTGCTAGTAGAAATTTATACATTACTGTACAGACTGAAAATAGAGGGTATAATCTTATACTGTATAATCGTACCGGCACATATCGGGATAGTAGGGAATGAAACAGCGGATAAGTTAGCAAAAGAAGCTTTAAAGAAAAACTTGGTGGATGTTTAGGTACCTCTGGGAAGAAATGAGATCAAATCAGTAATTAATAGGGAAATAATAAGAATATGGCAACAAAGATTTGGCAAAATAGCAGCACAGGTAGGTGGTATTATAATATTGTGAAATCAGTAGGGAAAAAAGAACAGTTTTATGGAAGACACCGAAAGGAAGAAGTAATGATTTCTAGATTAAGGATGGGTCACACAGGACTAAATTCAACACTTGCATTAATGGGGAAGCATGAAAATGGTATGTGTGATGAATGTGGTGTTTTTGAAACAGTAGAGCATGTGCTCTTTAAATGTAGTAAATATGAAGATCAGCGTAACAGTCTTTTTAGCAATATAAGGAACAGACCAAGTGAGTGTCATGGACCTTCTGGGAAAGGGTTTGAGTGATAGTCAGATGTTTAAGGTGGTTTTAACATTTTTAGAGCTTACATGATTAGTGCAGGATTTAGTGTTTGAGGATGAGGATCATGATGCTTCTGCCCATCTCAGAGGTTGAGGAGCACAGTGTGGAAGCTGGAGGAGCTGAACACGCAGCACCAGCTGAAGCTTGGGCTCTGATCCTCTGGGGTGGGTGGGGCATGTGCGCAAGATATACAGTAGGTGGCGGTAATACTCCTAAGGAGTGAACGGCCATTGACGAAGAAGAAGAAGACCCAACATGATCTCACTTTCCTGCGCCTCCACTGAAGAAGGACCAAAGGACTCGTGTGACGTATTTCATCTGCGCCAGAAGGAGCGGTAACGTCGAGGAAAACAAATGATCCAGTTCTGTTCATCTGTCTTTTTATTGTATTCCCGCATATTTGCTTGAATTTCTTAATCAGGACAGATTTCACGGCGAGTATGTATTTAGTTAAAGCTAGCTTACTGTAGCGGGGCTGTAGATAATGTTTAATTCAGTCTGGAGCTTTAAAACAACAGAATCATGTGGCATCTGAACATTATTTCTCGGTCATTTTCTAACAAGTAATCGATTCAAACAGTGTTTATTTCTTTAAACTAGACAGTTAAGCACAGTTTACCACAGACGGAATCTCTTTGTTTTATTTATGCTTATTGATTTCTGTTCTTATTTTTTTTTCTGTACTGTAGATACATTGGTTGTCTCTCAAAACGTAGTGAACTGAATTTCAAGAGCGTGCAGCATGTTTGGAGTGCATGGGTTTGCTTTTTAATCATCATAGGAGTGTGCAGCATTTCTGGCCATAAAGGTGCAGATGAAACAGGCTTGTCATTCCCAAAATGCTAGACAAGCAGCTTGCTGCGATTTGATTTGAGGCACAACCATTGATTTATCTATTGAGGTTTGTTTGTTTATATATTTATTGACTTCATTATTTATTTATGTATTGCAGATAACGATTAGTATGGCGTTAAAATCTGGAGAGGAGCGCCTGAAGGAGATGGAGGCTGAGATGGCGCTGTGAGTTCTTCACATTTGATTTCTCTCATGTTCAGTTCCAGCTGTTTATTTGCAGCGTATTGTTGCTCTCAGGGCAGTGTTGTAGTGTTTGGAGTGTGTAGAATAGGACGTTTCTGACAGTATGCATGCTTCTCTTGTAGGTTTGAGCAGGAGGTGTTAGGAGGACCTGTGGCACCTACAGTGGTTGAAGCTGTGCCAGTCGCTCTGGCAATGCCAGCCGTACCCATCATCAGGCCCATCATTGGTACAAACACCTACAGAGAGGTATTAATTATTTCTAACTCAAAAAATATGCCTAATATTTTACGTTGTATATTTTTATAAGCTGAGATCCAAAAATGTAAGACTATTAGTGAAAATGCTTTTGTTTAGCATTTTATTTTTTTTAAATTTACAAATTATTCAGATGTACTTGTTTATTTTTTAATGACACATTTTTACATTTCATTACAATAACTTAAATAAAAAGTGTAATTTAGAAAATAACAAATATTGAGAATATACTTTAAAAAGATAAGATTTTTTTCCCCCAAAATCCTAAAATCCAATTTTAATTGAAATTTTAATTTTATTTAAATTGTAATTTAATATATATTAATATATATAAAATATATATTGCTTGAAGCATTCATCAATTCCTTGTTTTACAAGCTAGTTTATTTTTTTAATTTTTTCGTAGGTCCAGCTGAGTTTGGATGCAAGAGCTGCCACTTTTGTTGGTCCTCCACCTACATTTGTTGGTCCTGGTACATCTATATAAATCCACATTTTCTCATTACAGACTTTAAGACAAAGTTATATATAGAAATGAGCTGACAATCATATGTTATTTATCTGTAGCTATGCCGGCAATAGCGCCTCCTCCAATGATGCGTCCAGCATTTGTCCCGCACGTCTTACAGAGACCAGGTAATCAGATTCAGTCCTATATTTTCTTTCAAACTTTTGTTCATTTACGTATTAATAGTTATATGTGACCCTGGACCACAAAACCAGTCTTAAGTCGCTGGGGTATATTTTTAGCAATAGCCAAAAAAAACATTGTATGGGTCAAAATTATCGATTTTTCATCTAATGATGCCAAAAATCATTAGAATATTAAGTAAAGATCATGTTCCATGAAGATATTTTGTAAATTTCCTACAGTAAATATATCAACTTAGTTTTTGATTAGTAATATGCATTGCTAAGAACTTCATTTGGACAGCTTTAAAGAAATGTTTTTTTTGCACCCTCAGATTCCAGATATTCAAATAGTTGTATCT